TTTCCTCTTCATCGACATCAACGCCAATTTTTACTGATGCTTATACTAATGTTAAAAAATTACTTCTCATGTCATCATCACGTGTGACGATGACAAGAATGTTATCGTCATCCTCTAGCAGGCCGACGAAGGAATACACCACAACGACAAGGAAAGCGAGAATAACTACGACAACGGTGATGAAAAATCTTCGATCTCATCGTATAAAAGAAAAAGATAAAGCACAACAGCCTTCAAAGAAAGAAAAGTTATCTGCAAAATGTATGGAATATTGCCGTTCAAGGACAACGAGTTCCAAACCTACATTGTCAAACGGCGATTCTCGAAATCCATATCGTGAATACGTAATTGGTAAGTTTGATGAAATATTGGATTACATAACACATTTTTATCTCTACTAGAATAGTTTGAATGTGCAAATCACTATGAAATCATCTATTTTTAAAAGATTTGAAAAAAATATTAAAATCATCATTTAGTAAAGGACGATATAAATATGTGATATAATACACAGAACAATTTTGATATCATTGTTATCCTTCATTAATTGCAAAACTACTTGTTATCTATTCGTACCGTGGAGGAGATTGGATATAAAAGAATCAACATCAGATTATCGATAAGCATGACAAATTATTATAATACCAGTCACCATAGCAAATTATATAAGTTCACAACAACTTTGTTTTGTAGATGAGGTACCGATATCGATAGATTTAACAATGGTGGTCACCGCTGATTTCTCACCGGAACTGAACAATTCTGCCTCGATTACGTACAAATCAGTTGTAACACATTTAGAAAACTTAGTAAGTGTATTGCCTTCTTAACATATATGGCCTGTCATGGATCAAATTACCACAAACGCACCTTTATACATGCAACATATAAAACAGATTCCGGGTATTATGTTTTTTTCTATTTTACTTACAGTAAGTAACAAATGCTATTTATCATAAGGATTTTAATCTGTTATTAGTATTCATATAGTTATTCATTATGTAATTGAAGAAACTATCAAATGCTCAGTTAAATATTACATTTAAAGGATAATAAACATGTATACAGACACATGTTTATGCTGATATGTTTTTGTTTTCTTATTGTTTTATACATACATACAAGAATAATTTAGTTTGTGTTAATATGTGCTATCTAGTGTGATGAATTGCTCTGAATGTACATTATTATCATCAATATCAAGTCTCTAGTGGAATAAAATTGTTCCCGGGTCATGTATAGAAAAGGAAAGCGTTTGTATAGACTAAGCAACAGTCCCCTTTAGATTATATTTATTGAAATATTTGTGAAATGTAACATTGTTATCGACCCTGCAACATAGTAAGAGGTGTTTTATCTACAAATGTTCTTTCAGCTTGTGAATATTTACAATTCAACAAAAGGATTCCAGCGAGTATCCATACGGAAACTAAGGTATTATGTTGTTGTTGTTTGTGTGTGTGTGTGGTTTCTTTTCAATATCAGTAGAGAAAAATGATATATATCTAAATGAACCTTAACCATTGTGTTAACTGTAAGATATGACGTCGATATCTTAACGGCTAATTTATTCCATAGATTTCGTGCAAACTGTAAATTGATGTAATCTAAAATGTTTCATGGCAACATGTTGTTTTAAGCACTAACAAAAAAGATGTGCCAATCTCTAATCAACGGTTCACATAAGGCTCTTTCCCAGAGTGATATTGCACAAGTTTATATTAAAGTTGAAAGTACTAATGCATTAATGTTCGTCAATGAAAATATCAATATCAGACAAATTTGATTTTTGTTTGACAGGCAAGGCAGCATTATTTGTGAATACACCATCAGTTTAATCTTGAATGGTAACAGCTCAGTATCCGAAAATATACTGCAATCTTTACACAAAGTGAAATGGCAGCAAACCGTTCTTCCTATTAGCATTGGTACAGTTGATACGCCATCTACTCAAAAGATTCAAGGGAAGCAACTCAAAATAGGTAAATGGTTTATGTCAATACATGTATGTTATTTAATAAATCAAGATACAGCTACTTCATCTTAATTATGTATTAGCATGATGTAACTTTATGTCAGTATTACATGCAAATAGTGATATTACAAAAAAAAATGCCTTTGTGGACGCAAATAAATGAATTTACATATTTCAAAATATGTGATACCACAAAAAAAGTATTCCCAATTCCATAAGTATCGGTCGCTTATTTAGTGTTAGACAAATGTCAGTTTCCATTTGTGTAATATGCCTATACAATTATTTATAACTGCAGTGGCGCTGCGATTCAAGGATATATGTTCACTAATAGGACGTATATGCATAAAACAAGGCCGAATATGTATCAACAGTAAGCAAAAAGGCCAAGCGATATGTGTCCTCCCGTGTAGTGGTAGTCAACGTCAGGGACTCGGAGTCACGTGCCTGCATGGCACCTGCTTCTTAGACGACGCTGGTAAACCGAAATGTTTGTAAGTGTTGTCATAGTAATTACGTCATATCACAGTCTGGGTGTGAAAGTATCATCTTTAATGTGATCTAAGTATCAAGAGTGTGTGAATGAAATATAGAATTGATATTCATGTAGGCTCTATATCAATGATTATTCCTTAACATAACTATTACTGGAATGCTTTAGGAAGAAACATATTTTTGAGCATTTTCTTCAAAGGAATGATAGATGTTGAATGGATGTTTTTATATCACAACTAGTTATAAACTTGGGTGACGCTTCGAAGGCTCAGTTTCACCCTCATTAAATCACAGAGAAGTGATATACAATTTGCTGACTGGTTGTGAAATGTATACGTTTTCTTCTTTTAAAAGAATCCAATTAGTATATTTTTCCATCAAGGCAGATAACCATTAAATCGATGTTTATGTAAACTAACCATATCCACACTATCCTCTTTATACATATGTATTGGATAGCATAAACCCCTCTTCCATGTTTTTCTAATCATCCACATAATAGATATAACTTTTCACAATCGGCCAGAGTGACATCATAGTGTGAGATATGCATGTTGATAACGTCTATCGGAAAGCGGTTTTTTTTATGCTTGTCCTAACGACGGAAATATCAAATTTTCTTTCTGTTACCATGTCAAGCGATCTCTCATTTATGGCACCGATTATTAATTTAAGAACTGGTTTAGAATGTAACACGGGGTTACGTCTATGAAGCAGAATGGGACTTAAAATGCCTTTGTGGATATAATTGCTAAAGGCACAATTTCTATAAACCTGGTGACAGTTTGAGAGTCAGTAAAATTGATAACATTCAGATTACACAGTTAAAAGATTGTGCTTATGACATATTTCAGCTGTGAGTCTGAGAACACGTGTGTGAAGAAGATCAGTATGTGCGCTCTATATGTCCTGTCGGCTATTGCGATAGGAATGGTGATGTTGCTTTTTCTACTGATAGGCCTTACTGGGTACTTGTACTCCAAACGTCGATTGAAACCAAGGTAAAGTGATCATTACAGAAAAGTTAACAACTCCATGTTTTAAGGTCCATAGATATGTATTTTAAAACCAGACGTCTTATATTGATCCATAGCTTACAGCAGGTGATAGAGATATCTATTCGCAATTATTTTGATTTATTATGTTTGCCAGTTGGATAAATATTCATAAGAAACATACAGAGGTTAGATAGAAATATATAGAAAGGATGTAGGACATATGAAGTGGACTTGTCCTAATTGAATCAATACAAAAATAAATAAAACACGTTCCGTACAGTTGATATATTCTGTAGCATAAGTAATATTAGTAAAAGACATTTTAGAGTTAAATAGAGATACGTTTATTATCTATACGATGAATAGTTGTATTTTGCTTAACAGCTGCTGTTTATTTCACCAAGTTGTATATTATTGTGAGAAGTATTTATCTTAGGGTATGTAAGGAACTAATATCTTTCCCTTGGTTAGCTATTTTACATGATATTTATATCAGCACCATGGTTGACAAATAAAATTAAAAGCGTTACGTAAACTTATTGAGTTTTTACAATTACCATTGTTTTTGTATTTTTCTTTCAGATGTCAAAAACAACAAGACAGAAAAGATATCAAAATACGTGTAATTGAAGAACTAGTAGCAACCAATTTCCATGCGAGAAAACACTGAAAAGCATACATGATTTACCAAAGCGATAATACATCTTTTTGTTTTTTTTTCCACAGTTATCATAATGAAACTGAAAAGCAGGTAAACATAACGGTCATGAATTGACAGGATATCAAATACTAATTGTAAATAAGTTACACTAAAATGATACGTAACAGTAATTTGTTACATGATTGAAATCTCATAGAATATAAAACACGCTCATTGAACGATCTGTACGAAATATTATCAACGGGTGATTTAGCTTTCGTTTCCTTAAATGATATATATATATACATATATATATATAAGAAAAACAGTTACACAGAAGTATTACATAATTAATAATAATTATCATGTAAATCTGAAGTAAAAAGGCAGCACTTGTTTTAACATGATGATTAACACGCCATATATTGCCTGCTTCAGCTGTAAAATCATTGTCTTCTTACATATATTATATCGGCATGACAGTGGATGTGTTTGTTTCTCACATTGACAAATTGTGTTTTTGGTTCTCATTTCAAAAAAGTCCTTTTTCGTTGTTTTCCCCCCAATATGTGCTGTACTTTATTTTGTCAAAAAAAAAAAAAAAACAAAAAAACAAAAAAAAAAAAAAAACAAAAAAAATCTTTTAAAAAAAAAAAAATAATTGGGCAAAATTAGAATTTTTCATAAATTTAACAAGTATGACATTGGGAGAATTTTGTCCTCTTTCCACTTTATTCACACAGTCAAACATACAAACTACAATTCTATTAGTTAACACAATAGATAAAGATTTCAACCTATATTTGCATTGCATTGAATGTCTTAATTGCAAAAAAAGTAAAGATTTTTTGCTTATTACACAATAAAGAAGTTGGATTAGTCCTTAGTTCGGTTATTTTGTGACAGCAGCTTTAAGTGCCTGGTCTAAATACGTCATGAAACGATGGATGTCATCAAAGGAGTTGTAGAGCGGTGCCATGGCGATACGTATAACGAAACCCTTTCTGGCGGTACACTGGAAAACAGAAAACCAATGACAGTTGGCTGACTAAAATAAAGTTAAGTCACTTGTGCAGTTCGTGTGTATCGAAAAATACTAATATTGATCAAAATAACACAGTGTTATAAATTAGTTTGGGTTTCAAAGTTCTCATAACTACTGATTTTTTTTATAATTTTTACAAGCTATGGTTTTCGCTATGTTCGAGGATGAAACAAAACCGTAAAATAGATACTAGAAAATGATAACATGTATAACAAAAACAATATTTCATTATATGAATTACATGGAAATAACGTCACTTTTCTCATTATGATGTAATCAAATTAAATTATTAAATTTAATAAAGATATTGTGATATAAATATCTACAACATATGAATTAAATTTGACCTTAGAATGTAAAAAAATATTCGAAATAATACATATATGCCGTTATGACCAAATACAGTAAGAAATTCAAAATAATGCAAAAAGCATATCTACCAATACACCTCTTTTTCCAAGCTCTTCAAAAACAGCTGCCACATCCTGGTTTGGGAATGTTAACGACATTTGGTTTCCACGTTGTTCTGGGTCGGACGGTGTGATGACTTTAATGGGAGGTATGGAATCGGTGCTGTCGCCGTGTTTATATCGGTCAGTGATGAGGAATTCCAGATAAGCAGTCATGAGTCTGGATTTCGCACGAATATCCTCCATAGTCGTCTTGTTAAATATCTATAATTATCGTTTTAAAAACCACTGTCAGGTTTAAATGCTTTGTATACCATAAGATTCGCATGTATCTGTTGCAAAACAGGCAGGGAAGAAAGATAACATCTGATGTAGACAATAGTAGACGAAAAAATAAGTAAAACATTTACATTCGATTTCAGTTAGCAATATGTCATTTTTTCATTGTTTTGTACCTTTATTAATTTCTGTACTTGAGATTTCAATTCTGTACACACATAGCAACTCATTGAAAGTATTGAAAATAAATAAGATGTATACTCACATCAAGGCTGGTCTTGATAGATGCGCACAATAATGGCGGCGGGTTCGTGATTCTGTATCCACGAGCGCCAGTTGACAGATTCATCTCTACAAATTCGTAAATGAAAACTGCCAGATTTTATTTTCTTTTATCATTAATAAAACGATTCGTAATAAATTGTACGTGGTATTTGCATTGGTATGAAAAATGCTTGCCACAACATACTTAAAGAGCGCGACTTCGACCCATTGTCAATGGCAATCACAAAGTGACAAAATGAAATAGAGTAGTTAAATGCAGTCACTTTTAATTTGAACAATGTATACACCGATGTGTAGAAATAGTCAGCAAGTAAATCCATATGTAATCAAAGCAAATGATAAGTGGATGCAGTTTCGTTAATGAAATAATATTACAACTATTACTTTTTATGCTTCCAAATACATTATTGATAATCACAATATTTTATCGTATTGTTTCAAACTAATTATAACACAATCCCTAAAGCTTTAATTAATGATTTCAACTGTTGCTGCTGTACATGGCATAACAAACAAGTTAACAACATTTTATTGACAAGACGAACTGAAAGGAGTCTTCACGCATTTACGGAAATTAAATTAGATCACAATTTGTTACTAGATTTAATTTGTTATTGTTAAAAGATATATTTGTTAATATGAAATTATAAGTTGTCAAACGTTTTTTTTATTGTGGTAGAAACATATCACACAAACTCGTGTTTGTATACGGAATTCCTTCACCTTCATCAGTTATTTTCCAAAAGTTACGAATCACTCGCTAAAGTTAATGTATTTAAGCTTTTAAAATAATTAACTCCCGTGAAATATATACCATATACCTCAATCTATCGTTGTATAATATCTCTTTCTTTATTTACAATAAAATAACAAAACTTTTCTGATGAAGAAAATCAATTCCTAATAAAAATAAGATTACTGTTGTCCATATCGAATCTGCTCTCTGCCTTATGTCCCCACCAGCCGAGAAGTTTTGGAAAATCGTTCCGTTCATGAGTGTTGTGTATGAAGATACAACCTAATCCTCCAGGAACAGAGTTGATGTACTGAAGGATCATACAAATATAATACCAGATTATCAAAAACAAAGCAATGAAAAAATGGGAAGCCGGTTTTTTCCATAAATTTCGTTAATTCTTCCCGCAATATTGACAGAAATAAATCTGTAAATATTGACAGAAACCAATTTAAAAATAAAATAAAAAAAGAATCAAAATAGAACAGAATATAATTACAGGTAGATTTATATATTTTCTCTCCTTGTTGTTTACTTTTGAGCTATCATCAGTTTTAAATAAATCTAACAATTTCTGCTATTATATTAGTAGAACATGTGATTTACGTATGTAGTTTTCCCCAAAGGGGTTTTCTTGTTAATATACTTATATTTATTCGCCTGAAACATCAAAAGAAAATCTATCAGGTAAAGATACTTTATTCACATACGATGATCCTGTATATCTTTGATTTTAGTGGTTAACTTATGTATAGTATATATATATATCTATACCTTGTAAGTACACCAGCAAGCAAAGTCAACTTTCCAATCATGCAGATAAAGGGGAACATTGGCAACAGCGTGCGCCAAATCAAATCCAACATAACATCCCTGAAATGAATTTTGTTAGTTCTTATTGATATCATGTCATTTAATGCCGTAAGCACAGAATTGGTGTAAACAAGAAACATTATTCATGAATCAAATAACAGTTCGAAACATGGCATTCTAAATTGCGCGTGTGTATCTAATTTTCCTAAAAATGAACATGAGTTTTCTTCACCTTAGCATGCCCACACAGTGTTATAGACTGCATGTCAAGGACTTGCCCGGTTATGAACTGTACGCCACCTAGGCAAATCACCGCTATAGATTCACCCTCTGTTGTTATCTTCGCCAGTATGTCTTCCATACGTAACGTCTCATCGCCCTGAAGTTCACACATACCTTAAACACTACATTTAAACAGCTAAAACATATGTACAAAATCGTTCTTGTTGTTCAATCAAATGTTTAACACTTTTATGACGCTATTTTTATTATTTCCCATAAATATGTTAAAATATGGACAAAAATATTCTGATAGTAAGGAAGTTTATTTGACACATCTTACGTGTAGTTACCTTCTCAATAATAAATGTTTGGTGAAACACGTACGACGAAACCTCATTATTAATACCAAAAACAGTCTTCTTGTAAATAGATGGCATGATATTGAGTCAAATAACACAAATAAAAAGGATAAAACATCTATATATTTCATTGTATAAATTGAGAATTGATTACAAATAAAATCAGTCATTCTACAAAAAGATTGTACTGTAAACCCTGAACGTAAGTTTACAGTATATGTCAAGTTACATATATTATAACAGTACACATACGGGAACTTTACTAAAATGACTTTCAATATATCACACACATAGCCCTACCTTTCGAGGTTCAACGTATATCAAACTTGTGCTTGGATCATATCCGTTTAAAGATATTTGACTTTGAAATGCGTACTGAAAAAGAGGTATGTAGATATTGGCAACATCACCAACATTTGGTTTTTTAGAAAAACGATATCATAACTTCATTATTGTTGATTTTTGAAAAACTCATTATTATTCAACACGAATGTTTACCAAACGATATTATGTTATAACATTTTTTCATTTGAACTTTTTTATAAAGTAGAGACTTGCATTTTCCTTTACGTTTTCGTGCACTGAACAAATATTATCTTTTTTTCTTTTGATAAAAATATCATATTGAACGAGTTTATGCTTCCAAACAATACCTAAGTTTAAGCAATATTTATTTCATATAATAACAACGAAAACAGACAGGAAAACAAGCTTTGGGCTTATATCAATTCCTTTCACATTACTTAGATGACATATGTAGTATTTTTGTAAGTAACACTGAGTGAGTAAGAGCTTTGTGCTCTTGTTAACTCTTTTAGAAGAAATATATAGATGTTAAATGTCATCTTGGTGTTGTGTATTTTTGATAGGCTGTAACACTATAACATACGTACGTAATCGGATGGGAAAGCATTCTTCTCGCATAAAATTTTGTGACGTTTAGGAGTTGGGCGATAGAATGACACCTGAAAATTACCATCACAAATACTGCCTCAGTATTTCCGTATTTCAAACATCGGGGATTTATGTGCGTTACTGATACGGTGATACATCTATAAATGAATATTGCTTATCAAATGTCAAGGTCATATTAGTATTAATCTCACTAGTGCAGTTATAGTTGACTTACCAGCATCAAATGCATGTTTACTGATAACCCATTCATGATGGCCACTTCTCCAGGCACGGACCCTGTATTTTCAATAATTCAGGACGTTTAGTTCACATTTTGTTTTTGAATGAATTTTAATGATTAAATGAATTCTACCATAGATCACATTTATGTTTATATATATATATAAAATGATTACAGATTTTGCTTTTCCAAATCTACTGAAAACTTATCAGTTTTCGCAACGAATTGGTTACAATGATTTCACGGGTACCCTTAACCCTATGATAAGAATTCATGTCTATGAATCCATAAAGTAATAGAATCAGCATCCGTATATTTCTGGAGCACTGTTTATGTACAAGGTCATATAACAAGGTACGTGTTCATTTGTAAAACACAACAAATAAAGCCTCGCTAAATATAGAATAATCTATGTCATAAAACATTAACTGGTATACCTTAATTAGAGTTTTATATCAAGTATAATGTTAAATATTATCACCATATTACTATCTGATACTTAATTTTACAATGTCTCTCTTTTTTTAAACAAAATAATTGGAAATGGACGGGTTCGTTTTAAGGTTTAAGAATCACATATCACAAATATATATCCAAACCTAATAAATGAACTCATTATAAATAAAGATTATTTCATGATACTAAGAATGTTTTCTAATTTTTGGAACTAAGTTTTAGGAGTTCAGTTAAAAATATCTTTTTTGTATGAGGCTCTCAACAAATTCATGACTGACACGTCTTTGAAAGTAGTTTTTCCGTTGAAATAATTAAGTTCATGCCCCATTAGGAGTTTTGCAATTTTGTTGATACGGTATCAGCTTGACACAAAAGAAAGAATTAAGATTTCATTAGAAAGACAGGGAACAAAATGATCTTCTCAAATAATTCAAAACATGAGTAATGACTTCCTAATATACACTCAAGCATGAAGATATAGACTGAACGAAAAAAAATCTGACCTACGAGGGTAGCCATACTTGTCTCAAGATCTTCGTCACATGTTGCCCAGGGAAGGCCTACGTTGTGATCTGTGAATCCATTGAATCCACTTCAATGCATATGCAATGAATATACATGTACATACATTAAGTACTCAGCAATTATGATTTCCAACCTCAGGTATGAATCTTGAGAGACAGCTTTCTCGAACATTGGATGTCTCCACAGACATGCTTTAAACTTGGATTAGGCATTATGTCTGTAGAGACGCGCCTCTACGTCGTGCAGTCCCAGCTCGAGGAGAATAACATATCATTTTTTGTTATTAATATTTGCCGTCATTGCATTCTGAATTCTGATTCTGAATTATGATATCAATGCATGTCTATATTCTTTATCTCTCTCACTCTAAATCTCTCTCATAAGGATAAAAAAGTAAGCAAATCTTACAGTTTAGCCCATTTCGACAGCTCCAAGTTGATGTTTTCGCCGGTTTCCTTTGGACAGGGACCTTGAGAGTTTCCGACGAAATATATACATTCTGAATCTGGATTTACCAAACTTTTGTCAACTGTAACATAAGGAGCACCGTTCAATAAAATAATATCATAAAAATGTCATCTCAAAATATATTTCACAGAGTATAGTCAAACACTAAATAAATCTGCATCATACAGCTGATTCCTCCATCTAGGGTTAGTCAGTGATACTATGTACCTGACTAAGAGAAAGAGATAATGAATAAGAGAAGAATGTTGTGCGAAGCAGTTTGCAAACCAGTAAAGCCATATTAAAAGTATTCATTTTTACAGGAAAACTAATTACAAAAAGAACACAATAAACGATATGACATTAAGCGTCACTGATGAATAAAGAGAAACAAAAGTTCATCACCGAAAAGAGTAACATATAACGTACATTCAAATATAAGATTAGGTAAACACACTATAAATGATACAGTTAGGCGAAAAAAATGAGTAACCTATTATATAAGAACACCTCGCGAGGGCAATTTAATAAGTCGTGAGCCTTGAATTGAAGAGGTTTATCAGGGATGTCAGTTTTCCGCTCTACTATTCCTAGATAATTTAAGGTCTTGTACCGAAAGACTGCTAGCATTTGGTCAGTTTATGTCGAAGAGGTAACACTCTAAAGTAAACAAGGCAAATATGTTTTTCAAAATAGACAAAATCACTGATATCGTGGTGATTCGAGGCTTTTTCATGTAAAACTAATTTTCATGAGGTAATACTTACCATAACTTGAGTATGCAAATATGGTACCAACACCCATATTTGTATCCCAAAAACAAAATATTAAAAAATCCCGCCCTAACAATACTTTTTGGCAAGATAGATAATGGGACCAACCTAATATATAGTGTTGATAACCAAATTATTTTACTCATAAAACAATATATTTACAGAACTAGATGTTTACATAAGTCCCTCAGCATTAATGCTCTAACCTGTGCCATCCATGATTATTATAAGGTTCAAAAATATATCACGTATACTAAAGGGGAAAGGGTTAAAGACAAATTTGCACTAGGGTGGAAAAAATGGGAGAAATTTATAAAAATCATGAACGACTAATATTACTACCACTCTGGTACTATATCGATATATGATTTTTTTACTCAAACATAATTAAGATACTCAATACTTAATTTTGAATATGAATCAATAAACCTGATATGGTTACCAGTCCCTGACAATGGCCATCATCTGTACCAACAAATTTTCAGTTTGGTAAATTATTTAAAATCACCATCTGCTTTATATAGTTTTATTTAAGTCTTGAATTCCTTCCTGTTTCCTTCCCTATCTGCTTTCTTTCTCTCTTCCTCTCTCTAGCCATCTGCCTTCTTTCTCTCCTCTATCTAACCATTTTCTATCATAATCTGTCTCTTCTCTCCTTTTTTCTTATATGTATGTATGTATGTAGGTATGTAAGGGCGTGTGTGTGTGTGAACTTCTTTGTGTACATACAATGAAAAAATGCAAAAAATAAAATAAATATAAAAAAAGTTGATTATTTATGCTGTACATTAGATATATGATGAACACTCACAATTTGACAAATCCGTAGATGATGATGATGATGATGATGCATGTTAGTGATGATGTGTATGATGATGCATGCTAATGATGATATATATGTGTATTAGGATGATGTGTATGATAATACATGTAAGTGATGATGTGTATGATAATACATGTTTAATGATGATGTGTATGATAATACATGTTTAATGATGATGTGTATGAGGATGATGTGTATAATAATACTTACATGATATGTATGATGATACATGTTAATGGTGATGTGTATGGTGATGATGTGTATAATAATACATGCATGTTTAATGATGATGTGTACGGTGATGATGTGTATAATAATACATGCATGTTTAATGATGATGTGTATGATAATACATGTTTAATGATGATGTGTATGAGGATGATGTGTATGATGATACATGTTAATGGTGATGTGTTGTATGATGATGATATGTATGATGATACACGTTAATTGTGATGTGTATGATGATGATGTGTATGATAATACATGTTTAATGATGATGTGTATGATAATACATGTTTAATGATGATGTGTATGACGATACATGTTAATGATGATGTGTATGATGATGATGTGTATGAGAATATATGTTTAATGATGATGTGTATGATGGTACATGTTTAATTATGATGTGTATGATGATGATGTGTATGATGATACATGTTTAATGATGATGTGTGTGATGATAATGTGTATGATGATACATGTTGGACATATGTATGTATGTATGTAAGGGCGTGTGTGTGTGTGAACTTCTTTGTGTACATACAATGAAAAAATGCAAAAATAAAATAAATATAAAAAAAAAAAAAAAAATCCCGCCCTCCCTTCTGAACTGCTTAATCGTCTAATGGAGGGAGAGATCAACTCCCAGGGATTCCACGAGGGAACACCTATAGGTTTAAACCCAAACCCCTGAGGGAATTGGAATGGTCCCGCAGGCTTGGAGTGACCCCAGAACTGGCCAAAATGGCCCGTCTGAGACTGGGGTTGGTCACCCTGTCCGAAAAACAAGGAGGAACCACCACTCGCACCAGGTGGACACCCAGACATGTACGGGCTAGGCATCACTTCTAAGGCAGTTAAAAGAAAATATTAAACTCAAGCGCAGTGGAAAACTCAGTAAAGATGTGATGTTCCAATAGGAAAATGCCCCTGTCCACAAGTCTGTCATTGCCATGGATGTCATTAACGATTGTGGCTTTAAATTGATTAATCATCCATCTTATTCGCCTGTTCATGCTCCAGCAGACTTTCAACTGTTTGCAAAATTGAGAAAAAGTCATTTCCGGTACCTCTTTCGGTCAAATGATGACGTCACACCTGCAGTGAAGGACGTCATGAACGACCAAGAAAAGCATTTCTTTAAAAAGGGCATTTTGGCCCTTAAACATCTCTGACAGGGATTATTATAAAGAATGATAAATTATGTCAGCCAAAAGTACAACTCGTAAATATGAGGCTCACAACTTTCAACACTAGTATAAGAAACTGCTGTATAAATACCGGAAACTTTAATGCTCCCTATAATTGTAAAAGTTTATAATACAAACCTGTTAAGTTACAGGGGACATTGACCTTAATTTTAAATATTTTTAATTTGATTTAGACAGGACATGTGAATACAAAAACCTAAGAAATACGATACCTTCGCACATAACCTACCTTCTGGTATATCCTTCATTTTCGGAAGATGATATTCGTGACGTAAACCTCTCAATGTATCTTGCTCGTCCATGCGTTTGACGAACTCTACACCAGATATATCACAATGATATTTATTAGCTAGACTTTGCAGGTCATTAAGTGGGTGTCTGGATCCGTGTCGTTCTGGCGTGATGAAGCTTTTCCTGTCTGCCATTCTTAGATGCAATAATACAAGGTGTTAACCTGGATAATTCAGTTGAATGCCACGGGCGTTGTACGACCAATTGACACTGGAAAAAGAAAGTTTTTAAGATTCCTTTAACACAAAAGTTTAAGGAATCTCCTTTAAACCTTCTCAATACCTAAAATAGGAACAAAGGTAATATATTGTTTGTTTATGGTTTTTCATCCTCGAAACAGCAAGGGCCATACACAGCCGAGTAACTAAGGACACAACAACAACAAGGGTACATTGAAAATGGATGTTTAGGGAGACACCAACAGCCAGGGTAATATGATTACGGATGTTTAGAAGGCACCAAGAGCCAGGGTAAATATGATTTCTGATGTTTAGGTAGACAGCAACAGTCAGTCTAATATGAGGACAGATCTTCAGGAGACACCAACAGCCATGGTAATATGAGGACAGATGTTTAGGTAGACACCAACAGACTAAGTAATATAAGGACAGATGTTACGGTAGACACCAACGGCCATGGTAATATGAGGACAGATGTTTAGGTAGACACCAACAGCCATGCTTATATGATAACGGTGTTTAGGTAGACACCAACAGCCATGCTTATATGATAACGGATGTTTAGGTAGACACCAACAGCCATGCTTATATGATAACGGATGTTTAGGTAGACACCAACAGCCAGGCTTATATGATAACGGATGTTTAGGTAGACACCGACAGCCAGGGTAATATGATAACGGTGTTTAGGTAGACACCAACGGCCAGGGTAATATGATAACGGATGTCTAGGTAGACACCAACAGCCAGGGTAATATGATAACGGATGTTTAGGTAGACACCAACAGCCAGGCTTATATGATAACGGATGTTTAGGTAGACACCAACAGCCAGGCTTATATGATAACGGATGTTTAGGTAGACACCGACAGCCAGGGTAATATGATAACGGATGTCTAGGTAGACACCAACGGCCAGGGTACTATGATAACGGTGTTTAGGTAGACACCAACAGCCAGGGTAATATGATAACGGTGTTTAGGTAAACACCAACAGCCAGGCTTATATGATAACGGATGTCTAGGTAGACACCAACAGCCAGGGTAATATGAAAACGGTGTTTAGGTAGACACCAACGGCCAGGGTAATATGATAACGGTGTTTAGGTAGACACCAACGGCCAGGGTAATATGATAACGGTGTTTAGGTAGACACCAACGGCCAGGGTAATATGATAACGGATGTTTAGGTAGACACCGACAGCCAGGGTAATATGATAACGGATGTCTAGGTAGACACCAACAGCCAGGGTAATATGAAAACGGTGTTTAGGTAGACACCAACAGCCAGGGTAATATGATAACGGTGTTTAGGTAAACACCAACAGCCAGACTTTTATGATAACGAATGTCTAGGTAAACACCAACAGCCAGGGTAATATGAAAACGGTGTATTAGTAGACACCAATAGCCAGGGTAATATGAAAACGGTGTTTAGGTAGACACCAACGGCCAGGGTAATATGATAACGGTGTTTAGGTAGACACCAACGGCCAGGGTAATATGATAACAGATGTTTAGGTAGACACCAACAGCCAGGGTAATATGATAACGGATGTTTAGGTAGACACCAAGTAATGGAAAACTCAGTAAAGATGTGATGTTCCAACAGGAAAATGCCCCTGTCCACAAGTCTGTCATTGCCATGGATGTCATTAACGATTGTGGTTTTAAATTGATTAATCATCCACCTTATTCGCCTATTCACGCTCCAGCAGACTTTCAAACAATTGCGAAATTGCAAAAAGGCCATTTCCGGTACCTCTTTCGGTCAAATGATGACGTCACACATGCAGTGAAGGATGTTTAGGGAGATACCAACAGTCAGTGTACTCTGCAAACAGTTGTTTAAGGAGACAGCACCAGCCAGGGTACTATGGGGACGGATGTTGAGAGAGATACCAACAGTTTAGGGTGACACTAAAAGCCACAATAATATGCAGACGGGTGTTATGGGAGACACCCCCAACCATGTGAATACGAGGACTGTTGTTTAGAGGGTATCGATAATCAGGGTCATATGACCATGGAGCGATGAATGTCTCGGGGAAGAAACCAACAGCCAGGACTTGATGAATAAAACGACATTACGCCAAAAACATTATTTTACTACGTACCTGTATATCTTGATATTACATGTCCTTACAAGTATACGCCCTCAATGTATCAAGTCAGTCGTTCTTTACATGTGTTACACTTCAGAATTATAGTTAGAAGCTGATGTGTTATGTAAACAACTTATGAAGGGGGCAAGGACGTTCTGTTCGTTCTGCTTCACATATGAATAATTTATTCAAATGCTGCAATTTAAACATAGCAGTAATTGTAGAACGGATTATACAAAATATATAAATATATCAAATTATCCCAAGCTATGAACCAGAACTTTACACTGAGTGTGGAATTTTACCTGCTTGTAAATAAATCATACAAGATTTCTTTGTGATCTTACTCTTTTATGCACAACTATCTTTTTGCTAGCCTTTCATCAAATGTTGAGGTGATAACATCGCTATTCGTCAGTCTGTCGTTAAACTATACTGTTACCTCTATTTCTTAATAAGTACAAGTTGAATCATTTTCTATGTATGTTCCGATTTGTTCCTGATTAGGACTATCGACTATGACTAATTGTATTTGGAAACAACTATAAGCAGATGATCGCAGTCTTTCAAGTAAACGTTGATCCATTAGCTCTTATGGGACTGGTTAGACCATTGAACTGAAATGATTGACATGCAGTAGTCTGGGATTTTGAGTTTGATTTTTTGTTGTCTTGAGATGTACATGACTGCTGATGCAATGAGGCTTGACCTCATATAAGTAAACCAGGTTTTAACTGCTGGCCATCGTTTTATCAGGTTGAATGTAACTCTTACGTTTAATCATATTTCACCCCAGTTTTATCAACTTTGAGTTAGGATTATGATTATGTTGGCTTGTTGGTTTTCATGACACCCGATTATGATGTAAAGTACAATAAGACAAGTGACGCCATCCTGGAACAGCGTATCCTCATCAACAATTGAAATTCTAGTGAAAAATTGCTAATGTTTGAAAATGTGATAAGCAATTAATAATCACACGATTCAGTATGTACACATTTTTTACGGTTTTAAAAATATTTTGCTAATTAAGATTGTTAAATTAATTGAATTTTCATATAATTAAATAATTAAACCCCTTCATTTAAACATTCATTCGAACTTTACCTAAGTCACCTCATAGGTCTGTTTTAATACTGAAAAGTTCACTAAAAACGAAAATGTTGTATTATGAAGAAACTTGTCAACACAGTAGAAAAGGAGAAAGGCATATGTATTGGAATGAAAAACATTGAATGAGAATACTAATTTCCTTCTACCTTGCCGTAAGCGCAATAAAGAGGATGGGCAATCGTCTGAAGTTTGATCCTAATATCACGAAATAAATCTACTACGGTGATGAAAACGTTTTTCCTAAAATAGTCTTTAAATCTATCTCGTCGTCAATATTATGGTCCTATATATATGTGTGTGAGGTTAGATTATCGAAATCCATCTAGCAATGAAGTCACTAGAGCATTGACAAGAAATTGCCTACACGTAATAATAGTTATTTTGTCTTTGACCTTATCATCCTGGAATTGCACATGCCCTAGTTGGAATAGAAAGTGTGTGAGATTTTTTTTTCAAATCTCCATATTCCCCTTAAGAAATGAAGGCACTTGAGCGCTGACAAGGACTTTGTTAAACAGGTAATAGTGACCTTGGGCCTTTAACTGAAACACACATTTCTTCGAGATAGTATGACATTTTGAAATGGTGTGTAATATCATCGATATCGTTGAGAAATTAAGCAGCTACAGCGCTGAAACAAACTTTTCTAAGCACATAACGGTAACTTTGACCTTGACACGAAAACACGGATATTCAAATCTGTACAAACAACAAAACCAAACCATCAAATTGTGAGTTACTTTATTACAATTTGTGAAAAGTATGAAAATAACAATAACTTCATAAGACATAATTTGCACCAACTTTTCAGTGACAAAACAGTGCAGAAATAGTCGATAGTAGCTTATTTAAGGGATTTCTTTCCCTCATGTGTTACAATCGACAGGTGTCATTTGACGAGCGTTTGTAATAACTCCAGCTTTGTCACCAAATAAATGCCTATGGATTCCTGTGCTGAGCTCGGGCAAAAAGTGGGAGTGATCATATCCTCTGAAATATTCTAAAATATTTATTTCACCGAAGTAGCCACCAGCTACTACAAGGATACCATGCTGTAAAATGATCCTTAACGTTGGTGGGGCGATAAACCCAGTAAAGTTGGATGGTCTGGTGGTTCAGTTGTAAATTATTCGACTTGAGCGTCCGCGGTTTGAATTCCTTAACCCGGGTTTCGATTACGTGAAAATTTATTGAGTCATCTACCTGGATTTTCAGTGGGTTAATCGGTTTCCTTCCGCAGTAATATCTTTACAGCGCCCATCCGAGCCAACAAGAGTGATAAATATAAGCTGGATTAATTCATTTTGCAATTGTTGTAAAAGAAATAGAGTTCGGTTTTATTTCTTATAGCAAATTCACACAACATGATTGCAATGCTTATGAAATTAGTATAAAACCAGTATTTATGCAAATAGCAACAGGTACGCAGAGGTAAGCTCATATAAGTGATACTTTGAAAAAGATACATCCTAAAATGATTGAATACATTTATAATTTAGTTTATTGTTTCTATTGCTATAGTTTTTCAATTTGTATTGAAGCGTTTTCATTTGTGCTATATGAGTTTGTATCCAGGTATAAAGGATTAGCGTGTACAATGTTGAGCCGATTTCCCATTTTTTGGGACTGATATCCACTCCGCCGTTTGTACCTATAAATAGATTGACACTCAATCAATATATTAAATATTCTGGAACATGATTCTCCTTAATCACTCATCAATATCTTCCACTGAATATACATGTACGTCTTGCCTATTTAAATAATTGTCTTGTATTTTTCTGCCTACGATTCACTATGTAAATCGAAACATACACAGTTATGTATATTTTTATCATTCATCATGTAATCTGCCTAGCATGGAGTGGGCACATATCATCATATACAATATTGAAATATTATTCATGTAGCAAGTATCATAAAACAATTATCTCATCCCTAAAACCTATGGAGCCCATTTACTCACATGCTTCATACGTACATCGTTAAAGTCGAAACAATATTTTGCTTTTAACGAAATAGTAACGAAATAGTATTTCGTTAAAACGGATTGATAATTAATGAAAACGAATTATCATTTAAAAAAAACGAATTATTGTTTCGACAAAAACGAAATAAAATAAACATGAAGCATGTCAGTAAATTGACTCGGTACAAAACCAATAGTTCTACATGTTTTTAATTGATAACCCTATCAAATCGTTATGCATATTAGTTTCACATAGTTTATAAATTGTACCTCTGACTTCATGAATTAGCTATAATATTGAACAATTAAAGACATATTTATATAATAAATGTTTCCCAAGATTTCAAAATTTTGGGCCTTTATCATCACTGACGAGTCACAGAAGGACGAGACAGTTCTCTGATGTCTAATTCACAATTTAGTTATATTGTATCAAATTCGAAATTTGTATGAAACGGTGTTATCCTCTTGTGTGTTTTCGTAAGATCCTAGACAAGGTAAAATATGTTGCGTTTAAAGTGTGTGTTATATATACAAAACTCTTTGATATTTTCAATAACATTTAATTACCAGATAAACGACGGGTACAAGATTAAAATTAATCGACATTATTTCTATCGGCGCGATTGAATACAACATGTAAAACATTTTTGAGGTAATTCCAAGAAAGGAAAAACGTACGAAATACAATTCTAATAAAATCAAACTTAAACAAGTTTCCCTTTTAGTTCACCCCCATTAATGATTTAGGAACCAGAAACCATTTATAAAAATTGTAACTAAAGTTGTAAAGGTTGTAGCTGTGTAATACAGTTTACTTCATTATTTGGTTCTACTGTATATCATTCTAAATTATGAACAGATTCTATTAACTTGTGTGTCTTTTATACAATCTCTTGTATCTATATCAGCTTTATTTGATGTGTGTAGCTCCTTAACATTGCATAAATAATATGTAGTACTTACCGCCTCCTAAGCTGTATGATAAGAACGATGATCAATAGGAAAGCCAACCCGACAGACACACCTAATAGGTTTTTCCAGTTGTCTTTCAGCCAGTCCTGCTGTTGATATAACTGAGTTAGCTCAAAACGTTTTGATCTCGTCATCAACTTCATCAATATTTAACATAATTACAATGACTATAATCTGTTTCAGATATAATGTCAAGCTATTATCTAAAACATCGTTTTTGCCGGATTCCACAGACGAATGTATAAAGATAAAAAAGGATTAAAAAAAAGGAGGAAAAAAAAAAAAAAAAAATGGGACAAGTGTCCAATGCTCACAAAAGTAAGTCTGTTGTTAGCTGTTATATGTTACTCCCAGTGAATAACAAATGAAATCGTCAGTTTTAAATGCAATCATTTATCAAAACATGAATACACGATATACAGAACAACAACGAACTCATACAAGTAGCAGCAGAGAAACGTATATGAATATTACTCACATCTGATTGTTTTTCCGTGTGGTTGCTTAAGTGTTTTTGTTTGTTCATCAGTGGGAAAGGAAATGTAGTATCCGATGATTTGTATACCTCTTCATAAATGACACTTGTGTTGAGTGATTTACCGCCGCACGAGACGGACAACATCACGGTTGATGGCTGGTTCCTGAAAAAGATTACAAACAGGTCTGAATATTCTAATAAATATTGCTAAGGAACTTGACGTCACATTAGGATTTCAAATAATAAAAATATAACAAAGAGAAAAAGTTTTTAATATTTAATAATGTACTGTACTAGAAAAGAGTAATCCCAGATTAAGAAGAAGGAATAGAAGTGGTTCAATATTATGTAGATACCTTTCTGGTAAGTTATAAGATGGAATGATTTTTCGAAAATTCTTAAAACATCATCGCCATATTAACAAAAAGTACGAGCTGATTATTTTGCACATACTGTTTAACATTTCTAGTGGATCTCTGTTCTTTAACAGAAACATTAAACCCGGAACACAGATTCGAAGATAATATTTTCTCCATAGCGTCCATCACTTTCGGAAGAGAGTTGTTATCGATGATTCCGTCAAAATTTAATTCAATGGAGGTTGACGCTGTGACATCTGCAAATCCAAACACGTTGTTTTTGCAAGGATTAGTTTTGCACTTATTTTCATCAATCTCACAATGCAGTCCAGAATAACCGTTGGGACAAACACATGTGTAGTTGTTAATTGCGTCAACGCAGCTCCCTCCATTGTTGCATGTGATGTTCCGACATTCGTTGATATTTTGTTCACAATGTCGTCCTGCATAGCCTTCAATAAAAAAACAAAAGATATTTATGTGTTCCATGAATGAAAATATCTGCAGGTGAGGTTTACTTCATGTAGAGATTCAAAGAAAATAGAAACATATCAAACATATAGTCTCACAAAAAATTGTACAGTACTCATCAATTTTTTCATCATATTTAGCCTGCTTGTCATTTGCACTGAACGTTGTGGTATTTAGTCTTTTTACTTATATGTCCTTTGATCGAACAAACTGACATTTAGATTTATGATCAGTTTCACTTCGAATTGATTCTTTTATCAGCGTATTTGTGATGAAAATAAAAACCGGAAAACTAGAAAGGTAGATCCCCCTATTTCCATCAGCAAATTAAAATCCTGATTTGAAAGCAGCCTTTCTAATGGGTATTTTTGGAGTTGTTTTGCTATCTAAATTTTATTTTGCTTACACCTCGACTATTCCACCTTGCACACTATTTCAGAGATCTATGTGTAAATCTGTCTTTTGTTCATATTCTGTCCTATTGTTGGATAAAGAGTTTGCTGAAATGTTGAAATTTCGTTGTTGTTTCTTTAGAGGAAAATCAGAATATTTATAGCATCTGACTATAATATATCCTTACCTTGGTTACACACGGGTCCAACATTTGTCACACAACGCCCATTCGTGATGCCATCAGTCGCCTCAATGCTACATTGTAGAGAGCAGTTCGTCCCAAAGTAGTTCTCCTCACATACTAAGGAACCATTTGCATCGCAATGGCCATGATCCACAGCTTTACATTCGACTTCACATTCCGGCCCATAAAATCCATGGTTACATTCGACAGAGCCATTTTCGGTACAGTGACTCGACATGGTTTGTTTACAGAATGTTAAACAATCTAATCCATGATAGTTTGTGTCACATCTGAGATGACCCTTTGAATCACAAACTCCATGTAATATATTTGCACAAGGAACATCACAGGTAGGTCCATAAAAGCCAGTATTACATACAAGAGTCCCGTTGTTGTTACACTTTCCATGTAACTTGTTTGCACAAGGAACATCACAGGTAGGTCCATAAAAGCCAGTATTACATACAAGAGTCCCGTTGTTGTTACACATTCCGTGTAATGTGTTTGCACAAGGAACATCACAGGTAGGTCCATAAAAGCCAGTATTACATACAAGAGTCCCGTTGTTGTTACACATTCCATGTAACTTGTTTGTACATTGAACGCCACAGGTAGGTCCATAAAAGCCAGTATTACATACAAGAGTCCCGTTGTTGTTGCACGTTCCGTGTGACGTGTTTGCACAAGGAACATCACATGTAGGTCCATAAAAGCCAGTATTACATACAAGAGTCCCGTTGTTGTTGCACATTCCGTGTAATGTGTTTGCACAAGGAACATCACAGGTAGGTCCATAAAAGCCAGCTTTACATACAAGAGTCCCGTTGTTGTTACACATTCCATGTAACTTGTTTGTACATTGAACGCCACAGGTAGGTCCATAAAAGCCAGTATTACATACAAGAGTCCCGTTGTTGTTGCACGTTCCGTGTGACGTGTTTGTACATTGAACATCACAGGTAGGTCCATAAAAGCCTGTATTACATACAAGAGTCCCGTTGTTGTTGCACGTTCCGTGTGACGTGTTTGCACAAGGAACATCACATGTAGGTCCATAAAAGCCAGTATTACATACAAGAGTCCCGTTGTTGTTGCACGTTCCGTGTGACGTGTTTGCACAAGGAACATCACATGTAGGTCCATAAAAGCCAGCTTTACATACAAGAGTCCCGTTGTTGTTACACGTTCCGTGTGACGTGTTTGTGCAAGGAACATCACAGGTAGGTCCATAAAAGCCAGTATTACATACAAGAGTCCCGTTGTTGTTACACGTTCCGTGTAACTTGTTTGTACATTGAACGCCACAGGTAGGTCCATAAAAGCCAGTATTACATACAAGAGTCCCGTTGTTGTTGCACATTCCGTGTAACTTGTTTGTACATTGAACACCACAGGTAGGTCCATAAAAGCCAACTTTACATACAAGAGTCCCGTTGTTGTTACACGTTCCATGTAAGGCGTTTGTACATTGAACATCACAGGTAGGTCCATAAAAGCCAGTATTACATACAAGAGTCCCGTTGTTGTTACACGTTCCGTGTGACGTGTTTGTGCAAGGAACATCACAGGTAGGTCCATAAAAGCCAGTATTACATACAAGCGTCCCGTTGTTGTTACACGTTCCGTGTAAGGCGTTTGTACATTGAACATCACAGGTAGGTCCATAAAAGCCAGTATTACATACAAGAGTCCCGTTGTTGTTACACATTCCATGTAATGTGTTTGTGCAAGGAACATCACAGGTAGGTCCATAAAAGCCAGTATTACATACAAGTGTCCCGCTGCTGTTGCACATTCCGTGTAATGTGTTTGTACAGGGAACATCACAAGTGGGTCCATAAAAGCCAGATTTACATACTAGAGTCCCGTTGTTGTTACACATTCCATGTAACGTGTTTGTACAAGGAACATCACAGGTAGGTCCATAAAAGCCAGTATTACATACAAGAGTCCCGTTGTTGTTACACATTCCGTGTTACGTGTTTGTACAAGGAACATCACAGGTAGGTCCATAAAAGCCAGTATTACATACAAGAGTCCCGTTGTTGTTACACATTCCGTGTAACGTGTTTGTACATTGAACATCACAGGTAGGTCCATAAAAGCCAGTATTACATACAAGAGTCCCGTTGTTGTTGCACGTTCCGTGTGACGTGTTTGCACAAGGAACATCACAGGTAGGTCCATAAAAGCCAGTATTACATACAAGAGTCCCGTTGTTGTTACACGTTCCGTGTAACTCGTTTGTACATTGAACGCCACAGGTAGGTCCATAAAAGCCAGTATTACATACAAGAGTCCCGTTGTTGTTGCACATTCCGTGTAACTTGTTTGTACATTGAACACCACAGGTAGGTCCATAAAAGCCAGTATTACATACAAGAGTCCCGTTGTTGTTGCACATTCCGTGTAACTTGTTTGTACATTGAACACCACAGGCAGGTCCATAAAAGCCAGCTTTACATACAAGAGTCCCGTTGTTGTTACACGTTCCGTGTAAGGCGTTTGTACATTGAACATCACAGGTAGGTCCATAAAAGCCAGTATTACATACAAGAGTCCCGTTGTTGTTACACGTTCCGTGTGACGTGTTTGTGCAAGGAACATCACAGGTAGGTCCATAAAAGCCAGTATTACATACAAGCGTCCCGTTGTTGTTGCACATTCCGTGTAATGTGTTTGCACAAGGAACATCACAGGTAGGTCCATAAAAGCCAGTATTACATACAAGAGTCCCGTTGTTGTTACACATTCCGTGTGACGTGCTTGCACAAGGAACATCACATGTAGGTCCATAAAAGCCAGCTTTACATACAAGAGTCCCGTTGTTGTTACACATTCCATGTAACTTGTTTGTACATTGAACGCCACAGGTAGGTCCATAAAAGCCAGTATTACATACAAGAGTCCCGTTGTTGTTACACGTTCCGTGTGACGTGTTTGTGCAAGGAACATCACAGGTAGGTCCATAAAAGCCAGCTTTACATACAAGAGTCCCGTTGTTGTTACACGTTCCGTGTAAGGCGTTTGTACATTGAACATCACAGGTAGGTCCATAAAAGCCAGTATTACATACTAGAGTCCCGTTGTTGTTACACATTCCATGTAACGTGTTTGTACAAGGAACATCACAGGTAGGTCCATAAAAGCCAGTATTACATACAAGAGTCCCGTTGTTGTTACACATTCCGTGTAACGTGTTTGTACAAGGAACATCACAGGTAGGTCCATAAAAGCCAGTATTACATACAAGTGTCCCGCTGTTGTTACACATTCCGTGTAACGTGTTTGTACATTGAACATCACAGGTAGGTCCATAAAAGCCAGTATTACATACAAGAGTCCCGTTGTTGTTACACGTTCCGTGTGACGTGTTTGTGCAAGGAACATCACAGGTAGGTCCATAAAAGCCAGTATTACATACAAGAGTCCCGTTGTTGTTACACGTTCCGTGTAACTCGTTTGTACATTGAACGCCACAGGTAGGTCCATAAAAGCCAGTATTACATACAAGAGTCCCGTTGTTGTTGCACATTCCGTGTAACTTGTTCGTACATTGAACACCACAGGTAGGTCCATAAAAGCCAGTATTACATACAAGAGTCCCGTTGTTGTTGCACATTCCGTGTAACTTGTTTGTACATTGAACACCACAGGTAGGTCCATAAAAGCCAGCTTTACATACAAGAGTCCCGTTGTTGTTACACGTTCCGTGTAACGTGTGTGTACATTGAACATCACAGGTAGGTCCATAAAAGCCAGTATTACATACAAGAGTCCCGTTGTTGTTACACGTTCCGTGTGACGTGTTTGTGCAAGGAACATCACAGGTAGGTCCATAAAAGCCAGTATTACATACAAGAGTCCCGTTGTTGTTACACATTCCATGTAACTTGTTTGTACATTGAACGCCACAGGTAGGTCCATAAAAGCCAGTATTACATACAAGAGTCCCGTTGTTGTTGCACATTCCGTGTAACTTGTTTGTACATTGAACACCACAGGTAGGTCCATAAAAGCCAACTTTACATACAAGAGTCCCGTTGTTGTTACACGTTCCGTGTAAGCACATTGAACATCACAGGTAGGTCCATAAAAGCCAGTATTACATACAAGAGTCCCGTTGTTGTTGCACGTTCCGTGTGACGTGTTTGCACAAGGAACATCACATGTAGGTCCATAAAAGCCAGTTTCACATACAAGAGTCCCGTTGTTGTTACACATTCCGTGTAACGTGTTTGTACATTGAACATCACAGGTAGGTCCATAAAAGCCAGTATTACATACAAGAGTCCCGTTGTTGTTACACATTCCGTGTAATGTGTTTGTACAAGGAATATCACAAGTAGGTCCATAAAAGCCAGATTTACATACAAGCGTCCCGTTGTTGTTACACATTCCGTGTAATGTGTTTGTACAAGGAACATCACATGTAGGTCCATAAAAGCCAGATTTACATACAAGCATCCCGTTGTTGTTACACATTCCGTGTAATGTTTTTGTACAAGGAACATCACAGGTAGGTCCATAAAATCCAGCTTTACATACAAGAGTCCCGTTGGAAAGACAGTGGCCAGTCTTTGTAACAGGACAGACATGTGTACAATTTTCCCCATAATAAGGATTAAAACAATGTTTTTGTCCTGTTATATCACAACGACCATGATGTCTATCTGGTATATGACAGAAAATGTCGCATAAGGGTCCAAAATAGTTTCTATAACAAACTACGGTTCCGTTATCTGTGCAATGACCGTTTGAATGAACATGACAAGAAAAGTTACAACTGGGGCCGTAATAAGCTTGGTCACACTGAGGGTGTCCAGTACTCTCACATCTTCCATGGTCTTTTGGAACTAAACAGTAAACGTCACATAAATCTCCGTAGTAATTAGTGTCACAACGTAGCGTCCCATTTCTGTCGCACACCTGATGTCTTCTCGGTACGCACAACACGTCACAAGCTAATCCATAGAAATTGACGTCACATACCAGCAGTCCGTTGGCGTCACATTTACCGTGGTCAGTTGACAGACAGTGCGTTGAACATGTAGATCCAAAGTACCCTGAATCACAAATAAGATGGGAGCCGTTACAGTGGCCGTGTTGTGTATGTGGACATACCTTGTTACAGCATGTACCATAATAGTTCTTAGTACAAATCAACTCTCCTTCAGAAGTTCGTATGAAATGAGATGTCATGGTAGAAACACAACGATTTTCACAGTTATTACCATAAAAGAAGTCTTTACAAAGCAGTCGTCCTGTTTTCGTACACGTTTTATTGCCTGTAGCCACACAGTGCACACTACAATTTTGACCATAATAGTTCGGGTTACATCGTAAACTTCCGTGTTGGTCACATGATCCATGCATCATTGATACGCAATAAACGTCACACTGTGGTCCATAATAGTTCGGGTGACATCGTAAATGTCCGTGTTGGTCACATGATCCATGCCTCATTGATACGCAATGAACGTCACACTGTGGTCCATAATAGTTCGAAACACAGTGCGTATTTCCGTATTTATCACACTGCTTATGTTCGGTATGCACACATTGTTTTTCACACTTTGGTCCATAGTAGCTTCTGTTACAAATCAAATGTCCAAGGTGGTCACAAGTTCCATGGTCGGTAGATACGCATAAGTGGTCACATTGAGGTCCGTAGTGGTCGATATCACATACCAGCTGACCATCATCATTACACACACGATGTTGTTCTGGTGATGGAAGACATGCAGCTCGAAACACCTCGTAATCCATCGTCAACCTAAATGGTATCAAACCAAACTACAAGTATTTAGAATAGCCGGATATAAACATCTGAATACGGTGTTTGGCTGTAAATGGCTATAAATAAATATTTCAAATGTGCTTTCCACTTGCGTTTCGTTTGTACAATTTCTTATATTATCGAATACCTGAAAGATATTTAACATGTTAAATGGTAATGCTGACCGTTAGACTTCAAACGTTTTACCTAAAGATAAGTATTCTATTTGTGCAACGACATGCTTGCCCGTTGTCAGTAAATATATTCGGTTGGATTGCCCTGCTGGTGGCCATCGACAGTATACTTCAGTGTGATAACACTGCAAATTCGGCAATAGTTCTGCAATATCAATGTCATGCTTACACGAATATATATCATTCTCCTTCAAACACACTCTCACCTGATATACATAGGGGAGGTACTCTTAACCATATCGATAGCTAGGATGTTCTTTAATACAAAACCAGTTCATCTTAACTTTCATCAACATGCCTTTCTGCCCGACGTAAAAGCTCTACAAAGACCAGCACAAAATTTGTATCTCAAAATGTGTCTTCATATTAAGACAATGAAGTGCATGCATGCGTTTCGACCGACATTTGTGTACTCGTTGTAACATTTTACAACTACATAGAACATACAATAAATATTACAATACAATTTCAAATGATTAGTCCCCGAGGTTTGCCGTAACCAGCATGCCACGTTTTGATTCATTCGAATGGTGGAACGGATCAGAATGTAAACATGTACTTGACACTGTCTAAAATTATGTGAGATATGAAATTCACGAGATTTATTTTATTATAGAGCTAGTGCACATCTTTTGATCTTACTGTGGATCACTTTGGGATATCCTCAAGGGATTTCTAGTGTTAACATGTAGGCTTTTAACATCACTGAAGAGTCTTAGAAAGACAAAACAGCTGCCTGTTGCAGTTAAACCGGATCTATTGTTGTATCAAACTTATAATGTTCATCTGTGGTTCCCATTTGCTGAGTTTTGAAATTTTATTTCAATACGGTTAGAAGGATTTGAATCCACGATTAATTCTTCTCGCGAATTTACACGAACAGGAAACCCATTCGAAATATAAGGTATTTACAGAATTGCTTGTAATTGCGTTTGTAGTAAGCTTTTTCTTTCTTGTGACAGCAAATCGTTTATACGTGTGATTAAATAAATCCGGTTTTACATTTGTGATGACAACATACAGCTGTATATCAAACACTTCAGTGGAATGTAGTCCATGATTCATATCGCTGTAAGAAAACACCTTGATAAGTGTCTGATGTAGAGTAGGAAAACGTTTTATCTGGTATACGTATGATATGCATTTATATATATATATACATATACAGTGTCCGGTTCAATATATGAGAATAATAATCAGAAACACGATATGAATTTATGTGTAAATCATGAGCGCTTTCATGTATTAATCTTCAGACGCTTTACATCATGTACTGTCAGGCTTACATGGTTGCCTACAGTATATATTCTTTATATCATTTTTATCATAAACAAATAAGGTACTTGTATTGTTATCAATGACATGGTTTGTTTGGTTTTAAATTGCTTAACGTCACATCAGTGAATCAAGGAAAGCCTCCTTATATACAATTGTATGTGAGTTGAGTGCTTCTGTTCGTTCCTGTATGAGTGTTTATAAAGATTCCGATTTATTCGTGTTATCTTACCTGGGCTAGGGTGGCACTCATTCTGGACGTGCCAATACACTGTGATAAACTATCTGGGTCTCCCAGCAAGACACCCACAACATTATACTCACAGCGCACACATCAACCATTGCAATAACACAACACTGATTGTTAAGCAAGTATCAGTAAACTCTAATCTGTATCGACTCTGATACGTACGTAACGACCAGGGACAAGATCCAATTACTAAAATGACACGTATACTCACACTGAACCGTGATATGTTTTGCTGACATGTCTAATGCTTCGGCCCTCAGTTGTTACATTTGCCTCAGAAATGTGTGGTGTGACAGTGAAGGAACCAATAAGATGTGGTGCGTGGCCGTTACCGTTGAACATGACCTGGAATCTGTCTCTACTCTAAAAATATATCGATAACAAAAATTTTATTAGACACAAAACTATTTTTACGTCAAATGCTAACTTCAGCAGTAAAGAGAAAATTATTGATGCTTTCGATTTTACTTTTTATAATCCGGAAAACCAGACAACTTCGCTGAAAACGCTACCCGAATTTTTCTTCTGCTATGGAATTGATTATGGCAATATTTTTGACTCCGTATTCTTTATTACAATACAAGCAAATCTTACCGACCAGGTTTGAAGACGAATTAGGACAGGGTTTGACAGATTCCCAATCGTCGATCCAAACCTTACGTGTTTGCTGCCAGAATAGTCAGAGGAACCTTGTATTATCTTCGAGCACCTGTTCCGCGTACCATTTCTGTCGGGTTAAATGATACACCTTATTAACGTGAATGTAATTGTACATTATGATTTATGAGGAAATATTAACACTTTTATGGGTCCTTTACACCTCACTATCAAAACTTTGACCTTTCTTTCGATTACTTTGGAATTTCTTCAGTCGCCTTCTAGGCTTCGGAATCAAGGCCTTTAGCATCACTGACGAGATCTAGAAGGACGATGCAACCGTTTTCTTTAGTTCTACATTGTGATTAGTTTTTTTGCCTCCTATCTTTAACATTTAGGCCCTTAACAACACTGACGAGTCCGTAGTAGGACGAAACATCTTTATGATTCGGTTAACTTAATTGTATGGCTCTACTGTATTCAATTCTAAATGTGTGTCTTTTGTACAATCTTGTATATAAATTGTCCCATTGCCTACTGTCGTTGAATGATGTTATACCTATGATCATATTTCACACAACTTATACATATATATATTGAAGGTTTTGATAAAAGAGAACTACAAATAATGCTTCACCTTCATCATTATGTAATATGTCAAAGACAATCCTTATCTTAAAGTATTATATTAAGATATTCATTGTAATCACTGCTGAAGATACGACACCTCTAATCACAGATACATCAGTTAACATGTAATCAATAAAATTAAATTATCAAATTTCATGAAAGAATTACTTAAAACAGATTTTAGCCGCTGGATGGCACACCGGCAGACATGTGATATTAGGTTTCTCACAAGGGCAAGCGGGAGTGAAAAGGCTCTTCAACGTTATCCTCAGATTAAAATTCGCAAAAGCCTAGAAATAAAACAAAACATGATGTAACTGTATGAATTTATGGTGTAGTCCTGTTTGTCCCAAAAGTGGTAAAACAGGTAAAAAATAATTTGGGACAAACAGGAATTGTGTATATAAGCCAGTAATGGCAAAGAAAACAACAGGTAATTATGATCATTAGACATTTTATTTGAAATACAGGTACCAGGTGAAATACAGGTAAATCCAGGTGAATAAGTCATTACAAGCATAGCACAAATTAGATAGTCTCCATTACTCAACACTTACACATCCATTGCACTATTTGTTACTTTAAAGTGGTCAAAATAAGCACTGAAAGATATTTGTTCTAAATCAAATAGCATGTACATTTTTAGCCTATATAAGTTATATAATAGCCTATATAGGTTATATAATATTGACAATAACTATGTTTTAAACCATATTGATATATTATAACAACACATTTACAAGATATATACAAATAGTATTTCTGTTCCATATTGTTTCCAATTAATAAAAAATCTTAGCACTAATGTCACTTTAAGAGGCAGCTTTTATAAACACTAATACACTATTTTTTGTTACTGTAAAATGGTTCCAATAAGCACTGTTCTCTTTGTACACTATAAGGTGATTCCATTTTGTCTCACACTTGAACACTACAAGATAATTCCATTTAGCACGAAGACACATTAAACACTGTAAGATGGTCCATTAAACACTTTAAGATAGTTCTAAGAATAACACTGTTGGATATATTCACAGTTTTATCACTCCATATGCAATAGATATGTGGCTCTGTCTCCATAATTGATGAAGTTGATCTCGTCGTTCTGTAGGAGAGTCTTCAATTGGATCAGGCGGTCAGCCAGGTTCCGATAGCGTCGTCTCTTTGGCACAGGTAAACCTCCAGCAGCACGTTGAATCCGGTTGATGTCATTGGCAGCTTGGATGTCTTTCAGTACACGGATGATTAGATAGATGTTTGGGTGCGCATGTGGAATCCTCTTCTTAAGTTTGCTGTGCCATCCTTCAAGATTGTTGGTAGTCCTCGGCCCGTCGTTGTCGAAGTGGTTCCAAACATGTCAGTCTCCTTCTATCCATTGGGTTGTGACATAGTCAGTGAATGGTGTTGTATCCACTGGTAGGTCGACATCTTCAAGGTCATCCATTGCGTTGAACCAGTAGTCCTCAATGCGTTGTGGAGGGAGAACAGCTGCACGTCTAACAAGTCTGTGGATATCCTCGTTGTCTCTAGAGTAGGTCTGGAGTCCGAGTTGTTGCGTCTTTCTCCAAATGCACTGCGTGAAGTGGAAGAAGCACCCTTTCACTGTAATTCCTTGGAATATGGATTTGGCGGCGTTCTGGGCGGCAGATTCAAAGTCCATGAATATCACTGTCGGGTTCAGTTGAAGTTGTCGTTCTTCCATTGTAGACTTCAGCTTCTCCAAGAACCTGGTGTAGATGAGCTGTGACTTCCCTGGTAAGAGTGTAAATACAAGTGGGTACATCTGGTTGTCTATCATGGCATGGATGGTGTACAGTTGACTGAAGAACCTCGGACAAGTGTAGAATGTTCCGCCGCAATACAGAGTGGTAGCTGTTGACAGGATCTCTAGGTTACTGGTAGTGGCAAAGGCTAAAATCCTCGAGTTGTCTCTGTTGTCATCGAATAGTACAAACTGGTCCCCTGTGTTGGTGAGCGTCCATTCGTTCTCTAGTGTGATATCTGCCACTGAATTCGGTAGTTTGGGCAGTAGCTTCGCTCTGCT